CATAAAATTGTATTTAAAAATCAATCTTGTTCAAAAAAGACCCGGATATCAAGTTAAATAAGAATCTAATAAAGTACCCATATTTTAATTTTTCGAGTATCCCAGTAGCAGGGGTGGACATTATTTAAATACAATTTTATTTAGATGATTATTTAAATAAAATAGTATTCGAATAAATTATTATTCGGATGAATTTTTCATAATTATTCGAATAGTTTTTAAACTGATTATTCGAGTAATTTTCAAACATAATATTGAGCTCTATTTAAAAATATTGTCGAGGCCAAGGAAGGTATATTTTATACTACTAGGCCAACTATTGTTTTTAATATTTCCGTATTTTAAATTATCGACCGATGTTTAATCAAATAAAATATACGAAAATTATTCTAGTAATATTAATATAATAATTTATGTTTGAAAAACTGTTCGAATAATTAGTTTTAGAATTATTAGAAAAATTATCTAGATAATAAAATTTTGCCCAACTCTGCCCTGTAGAGTGTAGTTAAATGATCACTTTAAAGTAGATAGGTACCTATTATTTGTATCTACCTATTTTATTTAGTAAGTAATTGTTGTGTTATAGATGTAATGTTTTTATCGATTTTAATTATTTGTGTGTAAACTTATGTATCACAGAAGTTGTGTTCTGTGCTTGAATTAAATATTATGTTATACAATAATAATGATAGTAACGCTCTTACAATATTTATATAAAACCGGTTATTAAACTTTTTATAAATGTAAAAAAAAATTCACTTACATATTTGGTAGGTAGTATTAATGTTTTTCCAAGATGGTTTTTTTTTTCGTACTATAATTCTATTATAGATAGGTATACATATCTTGAAATACTTTTAGAATTTCATATCTTATGATTATCTTTATCAAATACAATGTTTTAATATTGATCGTTGTGATTCGTAACACGGTAGGTAGGTATGAAATATTATATATGATATCCGTTAAATATAAAAATCAAATTCAGCCCGGCCTGGATTTAAATTTAAGGAACCCGGCCCTGTCTTTGCAGGTCTTCAGTGCCTACCTTATATTGTTCCAAGTTTTATATAGTTAAATAATTCTCGAAATCAGATTTAGTAACGGAAATATGCATATACCCCTATGCAAGGATATCATAAACTAATTAATTACTTGAATGCTTTACATTTTAGATTTTGAGTGGGGCGAAGAAGCTTATGGTTTTACAAATATTATGATTATTATTATTTTTTTTTTATCTGTGGACAACTTTTCTACCAGAATACTTGCTCTAGTATATAATAAAAGCAATTTTTCTAAAAGGAAATTTCACTGGGGAGGTACTTTAAAGAGGTCGTTTTTCGATTTTCTTCGGAGTTTTTTTAACAAATGTGAAACACTAAAAAAAACATGGAAAAACCGAAAAAAAAAAACGTAAGAAAACCAGGGAAATCGGTATAACATTAAACAAATATTATTAAAAAAAATATATGGAGTCTATTTAATTATTTTACTATAATATGGCATACATAATGTTGATAAAGCATCACTATTAACTAAATTCCTCTTAGAATCGTTTTTTCGTAAGCAATGGTTTATCGTTGCTTACAGGTATACATTAAATTATTTATAACAGTGGCTGCACCCGTCCCCGTTATCTTAGAAGTTCTTTTTTAAACTAAAATTATAGCTTTGATTTTATTATTTTTGACGACCCATTTAATTGTTAACTAGGTGTCTATTATCCGAGATATTTTTAATTTTGGCGTTTATTTAGCACTGTCAGTAATAAATTGGTTATAATTTTGTACTGTACACGGCTCAATTTTTCAAGTCGAAAATGTGCAAAAGGATTTTTAAAAAACTAAAATACCTACCTATATTAGGTATATGAAGCGGTTTCCTATAATGGCAAGTAGATAACCCATACTCATTAGTTTTGGGCAAATTTTTAAATTTGTCTATAATCCGGATAGAATTTTTTTTTTTAAATATAACGTGTATTCGTAATAATAACAGTTTCCTGGTACTTATGAATAATGTATAATATATTCATGGCTATCAAAAATTCATATTAATAACTAGTTAGTTCAAGGTTTGTAATCGTCACCGACTTCTTCTCGAAATTTGGTTGATCGATTTTGCTACAGTTGGTAATTTTAAATAACAAGTACCTGTATATTATATTTAGTTCATAATACAATATCTATGTATAATTTTTCATGTTTTTATGTTTCCAAAGCTTTATTATGGTTTTTACGATTGTATTCTGCATAGCAGATGGTTTCTATTATTTTAGTGCAAATTTTATGGTTTTACTATAATTTGTCGAGATTAGTTTTTCCGATGTGACCGTGTACTGCTCTAAGACAGGACACTGGTTTAGTTTGGAATTTGGGAAAATAGAATATATAAAATAGGTAATTTAGTTTATACAATTGCCTGGCATATGCATTGATAAATCATTCACGATTTTTCTGATAAATTTAAATTAAACATTGTATTAATTTGTAATTACAAAATAAATTATACATTTTCATATTTTTAACGGATTCTATAATAAATTTGAACTTTAGATGTTTACATTATTTATCTTTATACAAGTGTTACTGTATAAGAATAACTTATATAAAATCTTATTGTATCACATTTTCGAGCATTTATTATGTATCTAAAACAAATGTATTCACATAAACAAAAAAAAAAAAAGTTCAAACAGCTGTTAATATATTATATTACTTATTATTATATCTAATTGAATTAAGTATTAAGTAGTAAAATTAATTAGAATTGAAAAATTCCTGGTTTCTATACGTACCTATTTTAAACAATAATCTATAATTCCATACACAATTTTAAAAAGCATTTGGTAACCTAGTATACTCGTATTATTTGGTTGTGTAGAAACCTAAATTAATTAAAAATTTTAATTTGTAAATAGTTGATAGGACATGTTTTAAAATTGTAAGTACTACTTATATTTTAACACCTATTTTTAATATTGGCTAGTTTGAAAACCCATATTTAAATTAATAACTATATGAATTTAAATTAATAACTTATGATAACATTATAAATAATAATATATATTTTCCTCGTCAACCAAATATACAAACCTCACTATATACTAGTAACTATGCAGATGGATAGGATATAATAAGCCACTCAAATAGGTTTAGAAACTTAAAACAATAAAATAGATTCTCACAGAAACTGTTATTTTTCTCTCTACATTATATATTAATAGAAAACTACAAGAAAAACCGAAATAATGACCTTCCTCAACTAGACAAACTTTGTTACAAAAGAAACTATTCCTGATATTGATCAAGTTGGAGCAAGTCTTTTGTCCGAAAAGTTGTTTGCCAACAGAAATATATAGATAGGTATTAAAAAATACAGATATCTTGGTAATACCAATCTATTTCTCGATATGCTTAAAAAATAATTTAAAAATTACACAGTAATATTAAAATGCATTGTTAGGTATACATAAAAAACAATAACAAAAACAATATGGTACGAAAGTTATAAATAGTCATATATGACTACTATATTATAATATATTATTTCTTTCTATATATAATACCTATATAAGTGGTTTAGTCATAAATGTCTAACAGACAATCAACGTAATACCTAAATTTTAATAAGTAGAAATTTGAACCTTAGGAACTCTAAGTTACCTTAGGAACCTTCCTAGGTTTTTTAAAAATTGTTTTCTTAAACTGGTAAATAGGGGATGAATGTTTACATAAAAAACCATTATTTTTGTATTGTAAAATTCATAAAAATTTGTTTTTGCCCTTTTGGTTAGAAATTAAGAAACACGTGTATCAGGATTTTTGAAAATTTCACTCCCAAAGGGAAAAATAGGAGATGAAAACCTATACCTCATTTTAAATTATTTATAACTTTAGTGGTTATAACTTAAAATGTACGTTTTTAAGCTATCAGAAAAAGCTCAATGAGGACCAATGTCTTTCCTAATTCAATTTCCTAAATTTACGAGATCTCCCATGAAGATACGACGAGTGCAATAACTTTTGTTATGTTCAAGTTTTTAAAACTAATAATCAAAAATTACATTTTGTATAAAAATATATTGATATTATTTAGTAGTAGCAATTTAAATTATCTTAAACTTCAACAAATAATATAAATCGATTAAACAATATTTTTCCACGAAAAATAAATTTATTACTGATTTTTGTCAACTTTAACAAATTATAGAAACTTCACGATTCATCAGTAGTAAATATTTGTGACACCAAAATTCTGTTTCAATATATGTTTATAAAATGTCTATCATCTTAGATTCGGTAAAAACGATTTTGGTTAAAAATTAAAATGTTTTATTTTAAATTTGCAAAAATGTATACAAAATATAAAATAGAGTAATCATAGCGTAAAGCTTGAGTAAATGATTACACAAATAAAATTTAAATTAAAAATATTGAACAGAACAAAAGTTACTGTATTTGTGAATCTTCGTGGGACGCCTGTATACTCGCATATCTTAAGTTCGGTAGGTTTTACACTGTTCACGCATACGTTCGGCAGATTATTTCGTTAAGAATTTTGTCATTTATATATACATATATAGAATGATTGATCCTTTTAACGATTACAGTGAGTACCTATATGTATAGGTAATCCGATATAGGTATTACACGTAATAGTGTTGATTTGTCCACACCGCATGCGTAGGTATTACATCTGAATGGAATAGATACAGAGACCGCTCTGTTATAGCCAATAGTTATCCCGATCTCGGAGGAAAAAATAAAATTAAAGTGAGGCGAACCGTCGTCGTCGGAGTGACCCTATTCTTCCAAAGTAGAGAGAAAAATGGCGAGTCGCAGACCTTGAACGGCTTGAACACACGCGCACGTGAACTCGGAACGCGCGCGCCACAGACTAGGGAATTCGATTGCGCCGCGGAGTAGAGGAAACTGGTTCTGGTCTGTGACCAGCGGAACTCCACCGGCACATTACTCGGGCCAGTCGGTTCTCCCGGGTGTTCGCGTCAGCTTGTGCGTCTGTTTGTTTGCCGTATAATTTGCTATTCCGGACTGTTTAGGTACCGTTAACACTCGTATACATATACCGGCAATGTTTATGTGCGTTTTTGCCCGCGAGTGAGTACCGCTTGCTTATCGGCATGCACCGGAAACGGCTAATAGAAAAGTAACGCGGTTTTTTTTCCATCTACACAGGTGTTTTTTTTTTTCTGTCCGACAGCAATAACATACACCTACTGTACACAGCCAAAGGTAAATTATTATTACGATAATAATCGTTTTTCGTGTTCAATATATATTTGTACAAGGAGCTTAAGTCGGTTTTTGGATTTTTTTTTTTTTAATTATGTCTCATGTAATTTTGTTCCCTTTATGTTTTGGTCTAAATGCCATTTGTATATTCTAACACACGTTTTACTGAAAATTGAAATATCTTAAGTCCCTATATGATGTGACTTTTGTTTGGCAAAAAGGCATGTCACATATATATATATATATATATATATATATATATGACTTATACTAATATATGACTTCAGCAACATTAAGGTTAAGCCATTTGGCAATTAAGATATAGGAAAATTATGTCATTTAATAATTTTCAAGGTTTAATTTATTTACATTGAAAACTATACAGGGTTGTCTTAAACCAAAGATATATGTTACGGGTTTTCATTTAAAATATAAAACCATATCTACAGAACGATTCATAGGAGATGGGTATATATATGCTTATTAAAAAAAAAATAGTGGAAAAACTAACGAAAAATTATATGGAAATTTAATTCTTGTGCAGGTGTATAGATATATACCTGCACAATGCCCATCTATGTAGGTATAGGTAGATAGGCATATGTATACTCAGTAGAGTCATAGTGTTTATGTAAAAACTATGATAATATATAAATTATTTATGTCAAATACTCAAATTATTGCAGTCCATCATTTAAGTCTTTAATCTTCATTATAATAATAAATCGCCTTACAGGAAATACGTATGTTGTTATCATTATTTTTATAATCGTATTCAATAATATTATTGTCGCCTTCCAATGTACATATAGTATCGAGCTTAAAATTCTGTACCTAATATTGAACTTTTCTAAAACAAAACGGTTCTTCGGAAAACTTAAAAACTCATACTTCCGAATGTTAAATCTTTTTTATTAGTCAAATGCTAAATAACATTTGTTTACTGTATTTCAGATTCTAAGTGTAGCTATTAGTTTTACTTCGATGTGTTCTTTATTTCTCAAAAATCACCTTTTCGATTATGCACCTAGTAAAAAAAGCTCTCAGATTGTTATCATATCGTGCAAAAAAATATTCGGTATTGTAAAAGTTCCTTTTAAAAAAAAGAGTGCGTTTTGTTCCTCGTTTCACAAACCCGGTCCAGTTCGTAAAAAAATCGTTATATTTCTTATTCCTACAAAAAGGAATCAAACAATGGATTCCTCGTTTCACTACATTTTATTATTTGTTTAAATAGTAAGTTTTTAGAATGTAAATTAATTTGATCTTCATCATCATTGATATAATAATACTCGACTGCAATTTCAGAAACAAATTTAAATTTAGAAATACTAAAATACACATTAGCCCCCTAGACGTTTTCTATAATATACACGTGTAACCCGCGGTGTTTTAGGTTCACAATGTCTGCGTACCTATATAGTAACTAGTAACCCATTGTTTATAACATTCATCGGATAATACTACCAAATTAGTTCACGACAATACTATATATGAGCCCGGCGGGTGTTTTATTTTTATTATTATTAATGCGGCCATATTTACACACTAATTATAAAACGGTTGTATATATATATATATATATTTAGTTTCATTTATACATACCTGCACGAAAATTAACTAGTCCAATCTACTCAACATTGTTCTGTATTTCGTTTAAACATATACATATACTGTATTATCGTCTTGTAAACCGATAACGAATTGAAATAATTGTGACATTGTGCAGGGCATAATATAGATAATTTCCACCTACAGTAAATGTTGTCAAATTTGTCTTCGAAAATTCGTCCACTTATGTGTTTTTAACAAAGTAGACGAAAACATTTTGTTTCAAGGAACATTGACAACAATTCGAGCAACATTTTTAATTTTCACAATATTAGGTTTTTTAGACCCTATACTATACTGTCTACTATAATGTCTATATTATAAAACAAAATCAGTAAATATTATTTATAATATTGTTTGTTGTTTTACAATAATATGTGTCATTTTTTATCTTGGAATACCTACATAGTATTTTTTGAGGGGATTAAAATGTCCAAACAAAAAAATAGAATATTTAAAGACAAGTAAGTAATACTGGTCATCGGTGGGGGTAGGTACATGGTATTTTTGAAAGATCGTGTTTTGATTTTAAATCTGTACGTGAAATGTTTAACATAAATATTAAAATTAACAAAATTTTAATTAATTTTTATAATTAGATACTCTTATTAATCATTTACTTATTTTCCATTAATCCTTATTCATATTTATCATCGAAATTAGATGATATTTGAAAGTATTATGCGTTGTTATAATATGTGGTTGATGAAGAGATAACAAATGATTCACTGACATTGTTTTTAATGATTTTAATATGTAAATATTTGCACAACATTTTATTTCGTTAACTTAACCGAAAGGGGCAATACATGTGTTATTTTTAATATAATATATTAAGATCAATAATAATAAGTATATACTCATTATTATTGCTCTTTCAATAGAGTTACATCATTATATTGGTTATGGTACAGTTACTATAATATATAACTATGGGTCTATAGAGGTATAAACGTTTTGAAAAGTTATTCAATGAGGTACAAAGAAGTTTTTTTTTAAAATTTTAAAATTAAATAAATTGTATTTTATGCAATTCTCGCTTAAAAAGTTGTCGAAAATTATAATTATCAAAATCAAAAAAAAGTCCTATTAATTATAAGGTACCTTCTGAAAAGAAATGTCATTTTCTCAATCGTTTTATACTCGTGAGACCATTTTCACAAACAGGATCTTCATGAATAGACGATTTTATAATGATTACAAAACGTGACTTGACACAATAAAAAAAAATTACACTAGTAATTTATTTTTTAATGTTAAATCCTGTTTAAAAACTATTCTTTGCATTTTTTCCTTCCGGAATGTTTAAAATTAAAGTAGAGCAATTAAATTAGTTTTATAAAATGTCATTCTATTTTTTAATTTAGATACAGATTTTGAAACGGATAATGTATTTTGTACATACAGTAATATATTATAATAGCTGTTATGTAATTATAAGACTTTCGGATAGCTATAAATCATATATTATAATAATTAAACCTAACTAGAATATTTAAAATATTATATTGAGTACTTTTTTTTAGTAAAATGCCACTTAGCGATATTTTACTTTACCTATATTAATGTAATAGGTTATGTGTACGCCTAATAATATAGGAAATTATTAAATTATAATACTATATATTATATTATGTAATAAACAATAATATAACTATGCGATTATTGGCTATTGAGTATAATTTACAAACTTGTAGCGTTATTGTAGAAATCGATGTAATTTTAAAACTAGTTGATAATTAGTAAGGCCGTTCGGGTCGTTCCACTCGTCACTGTAGCCAGTATAATTTCGTATCGAATGAAAGGTATTGTAGAAAAGTGTATTTATCCAATTCTAATTGAACGCTATTTCAGTACAAAAAATACAATAATCAATTTTTTTTATTTAGAAATAGATTAACTAAAGAATCTATATAGTATAGATAATATAGATATTTGGACCAACGCAAGAATTTACATATTTTATAAATTTATAATCCCACAATATTTATCAGATCTAAAATTTGGTATTCACTATAAATATTGTGTTGATATTATATTGAATTCATTTATTTTTTTTCTTTGACAATATTTTACATAATATTAGTATATTTTGGTGTTTAGAAAAAAAAAACACACAATGCTATTATTCCTAAACTGCATAAACTTACACATATAATTTTAGAATAAAATATATTTTAGTGTACACTTAAATGTTTTTATTACTATTTTTTCGAACAGTAAATATACACAACATTTTTGTGCGCGTAGCATTGTTTTTAAATTGACAAATATATAGGTTCACAGTATTATAATAATATGTCTAGTAGGTATTCTTATAGAAATGTAATTTTTCGAATTTTCCAGTTAGATGTCCAGAAAATAAGACCATTCGTATAAGTATAATGTACAATATAATCATATAAAAGCTATATAAACAAAGTACAACTAGTTGTAACCTAAAAACCGGTATTTTTAATATATTACAATGTTTTATAGTAAGAAAAAAAAATATATATTCAAGTATTATGTATTATGTATGGACGTACCCAGGAATTTTTAATTGGAGGGGATGTAGCAAATTAGAATCGTAAAATCGTCTTCTCTACCCAAGTCGACTATGGAATTGGTAATTTAAAAGCCGGATCCTAAAAAAAGTCAATTTCTAATCAATACATCAAGATTTTCCTCGTAACTTGGCTGAAATATATGTATTTCGACATTACAATGCGTTATTAAACACGACGAGAGATCTCTGGCGGAAATGATAAGGCTACGCAATATATCTAGCTAAAGCATTATAATAGTGATATAAAATTTCTATGGGACCACCCTGAAGATATTACGCTATTCATTCAAAAAAATAATTATATAAATCGGTTCAAGAATGGCAAAGTTATGAGTGAACGCTGAACATACATACATACATACATAAAAACTCCCATTTTTTTTTGGAAGTCTGTTAATAATAAATACGCAATAGCACGCAGTTAAATTATTGTAGTGATTAAGCCCAATACAAAATATTGCGAAGTCCTAATAGTGTTACGAGTACTTATTGCTTATTTCATATTATTGTTACTCAAACTAGTCGAACATAATGATTATTATTATAAAAAATGAATGATAGCAAAACCTCGCCCAAACTTTGAATAGGCACGTAATCAATTAATCGTAACGACTGTTTAGAATGCATTAGGTACATTTCATTTTATATAAGTTTGTTAAAAAAATTGTAGTATTTATGTAATATTAGTAAAATTTAATACTAATGAATGCAGTTTGATCTATTTTTGCACATTTTATATAATATAGGTAATATCTAATATTATGTACCTACTATGTATTTTATAATATATACATTTTAAATATTTTTAAATTATTTCCATTATTACAATTAGAGAAATTTCCCCATTATCAAATACAAATTTAGCACCTCTTACAAAAATTTAAACGGTCCAAACTATCCCACTTCCTCCCAACCTTAAACCACATTTTAAAATTTACGCACATGTTAACAATAAATAATGATGAAATATTTTTAAATTAAAAAAAAAAACAACATATATTTCTTTGCTCGTCTTTCGGATGGCCACTTGTTTTTTGGGGGTCCCAAAAAGTCACTTTGTCAACACATTCGGTAGTTGTGCCATTCGAGAAAAAAAAAATATTGTAAGGCAGGTACTGGCTGCGTTATATCTTGTATGGAAAAACGTATTGAAAAGTATTTACTGTTTACTAGGTGTAGGTATTATAAGTCGCGTTGTAGGTGTGCAATATTTTTCGATAATGCGATTATTGCTAAACGCCTTATTATCACTAGGTAGATACTATACAATACAAATACAAATAGTATAATAATATTACGCGTCGCTTTGTATACACGCATATATTATTCCGTATTCGACAATATCATTATTTTGTGAAAGGTTTTCGAAAAAATGTTCAGCCACGCTTACCGTTATGGTAGTTTTACCGGTCGATATATCGTGTACCGATATATTATATTATTATAATGCTAATAATTACATTATATTATCTGTAGTCGGAATGCACAGTATTCTATTTAGACGAAGAAGGGGGAAACCTCGGACGCTATTATTGTGGTTTATAGGGGGCCCTGCTGTACGTTTAGCTATCATTATCATGGTTAAATGCGTTGTAGGTGCCTATATAAAATGCGTGTATAAGTATTAATAGTATTGTCTATTTTGTAGCTATATATGGGCCGCGACGTATCCCAATGTTCGCGAAATAGTGATGAGGATATTAATGTAGCACAATCGTATATTTCCGACGGAGCATATTATTATTTTTCCCGGGTTGTCATTTTGTATTAGATGAACGCGAAAAAAACATAATAATTAGATACCGCAACACCACACGACTGAACTATTTTAGTACGTTATACAACATCAATAGTATTATTATAAGTAGGCCGCAGGTACATAATCAAAGTTAATATTAAAGTGTTAGGTATTACCTGTAAACGAGTGAGGAAAGCCCAGTCTACGAATGTTTCCGGTTTAAACAATAAATTATAATTCTATACACAATTTTGAAATAATTTAGCAACCTAGTCGGTTTTGTATACTTATGTGTAAAAACCTAAATAAATAAAATATATTAATTCGTTAATAGTTGATGGGCCGTTTTAAATATTGTTAAGGTAATAATATATTTTTTAATATTGGCTAGTATGAACTTTGATTTGCTACTGGTATTTAAATTAATACCTAATGCTAATAATAATATTACGAATAATTATAAAAACATATCTCCTTGTTTATATCAAATCAACAACCATAACGATATACTATGTAGTAATTATACGGACGGACGGACGATCACAACGAGGTATAAAATGTTTCGAGTCAAATACTACAGGATGGAAATTACATATCTTTTAAGGTATGGCGGGTAAAAAACCGAAGCGTTTGTACGGACCGAAGAAGTATTTTCAGAGAGAGGAAAATTAAACACATCTTAGTGAAACAAATAACTTCTTCGCTAAACTTAGAACCTAAAATAAACGAATTAAGTATTCGCAAATACCTAATGAAATTTTTAATACATAACACAGTCTAATAATATTTGTGTAAGTACCTATTCAGGCACCTTTCAACGAATTTACAGTAATTTTAAAATGTTTATGATTTATTTTATGCACCTTTATTATTTGGGTTGTTTTATTTTTATTTAGTGTAGTACAGGCCGTTAGGGCCAAAATTAAAATCAAAACTAACTATTAGTTACTAACAGTATCTGATAATATAATAATTCGGTATATGATATAAACAAAAAAAAATGGATTACTAAAATTAAACTACATAGGTACTTTGATACTAGATTACTGGTATCGAGGAGACCTAGCAGCTGAACAAATTATGAGTCCTGGTTGATGGTGCGTATAGCCGGTTGATTGGGGAGATACAGTTTTTTATTTTTTTATTTTATTCAGTATTTGCCAATATGAAAAAAAAAAAAAATAATAATTAGGTATACCTACAATAAGTATTACAGAAAAAAAAATTGGACACCAATTATTTTTGTTCGAGACATTCATTAAACGAATAACACATAACAAAATCGTGTAATTAATCGATATAGTTAAATTCGTGTTAAATTCTACGCGCGTAATGCGGGTATTAACGTAAAAACTTGTATTTTTCATTGGCTCGAATAATTCGAATTTTATTGTTTTTTTGGCATCCTTTTAATTTCTGTACGTTGACTGGCCGTGTGGAATGTAAATAATTTATATAGGTTACCTGCCTATACTATAATTGTGTAAACTATACGAAAAAACAAAGTGTCTATTCACCTATATTCTATATAGATTAATGGGTACTTCGAATCAATCCAAAAATGACTTTTCAAAATCTGTATGTAGGACGCCTTTTGGAAATTGATTTTTATGATTAATTATTTTGTATGATTTAGTGAACCATAAAATGGCATTTATATATATATGTATTCACGTATGTATATATTACTTTGGTGTTTAATTTCTAATCGAAATATATTTAAGCTTTGTATATACAATAGTAACGTTTTCGCAATGGCATCTCGTGCTGTGTGGCCTATGAAGTTTTTTTTCATGTATACCGCCGTGTCATGGGAGTTCATTGTTTGCTTAGCTCAGGTGTTCAACCCTCCCGGCTCTACGCTACTTCGTGATCTATCCAGTTCGTTTTGTTACTACAAAGACCAAACCAAACTATTTGTCAACATTACGTATGGTTTAAAAATGGGTCAGATATTTTTCCGATCGAACTTTACATATATTTATATAATTAATATTATAAATATGCGAACTTTGATTCCTGACTAACAGTATAACAAATGACGAAAGAAATAAAATTATATAAAAAAAAAAAGCTTTTAACATTTCCATTTAATCATTGCATAGCGCATTATAAAGAGAAAACTATAAGACTCCTACGCGTAAATAAATAGGAGGCGTAATAATGTATAATATCTAATATGAATACTGCCTAAGTATTATTTTTATATATATATAAAAAAAAAATGTAACGCATTACCTAATTTCGACACACATTTCCTATGTATAAAGAAAATAACAAAAATGACAACTTTAAATTTTAATAAAAAGGTAATCATTTTTTTATATTATATACTTTATACTGGTTGCATGCACTGAACTACATACATTTTGCAGAACTATCGAAATATTTATGAAACATTTATTTTTTTATTTAAATAATTGAATACAAGTTTAGTATACAGTGCTTATCCATCGGATTTCAAATGTATTTAACTTGTTTTCAACACAATGGCGAAAACAAAATACTATGTTCTAAACGCTTATCCAAAATTATTTCAATGTTCAAGTCCGTCACGCGTAAAATAAAATACATTCGAATAATTTTCCATAACTATCGGACGTCGGTATATGGGTATTTTTATTATATTAACTTGCGCCTTTTTGTCGAAAAATCATTATCAAATACAACAGGAAATAATACAGACATGCAAAGTGCAAGAAAAAAGTGTATGCAAATATTAGTGGATGCGTTTAGGTCCTATAGGTTTGAAAATACAACAACTATGGCTTTTAAATAGCCATTAAATCTTAAAATATACATGTATACTAATAACATGCTTTATATAGGTATATATTTCAGCCAAGTTACAAGGAAAAGCTTGATTTATTGAATACAAATTGGCTTCGTTGTCTTGTTGTAGGGATGGGTATAGATATACAAGAACAGTGTAGATGGCATCACTCATAAATATGAAATAAGGAGCAATGCGGAATTACGACAAGGATTATAAACGCAGTGAAATAAAAAGAATTAAGAGATGCATATGAGGTGAAAAATAATTGCATGGGCCGGTCAGTTCTCACATATAAAATTCTACCATGAAATACTTTTTTTTTTTATTTCGGATCTCTGCCACGTCAAATTCAAGGGAATCATATATGTATATACCTATTGTAAACTATGTATCTTTATATATACATATATATATATATATATATCAAAGAAATGTTAATATTTCTTTTTTCACATAATTGAAGTCAAACATTTTAATTTTAATCGTTTATCTTAATCAACTAAATAAATGCATGATGAATATGAACCTCGCTTTAGGTAGTAACTAATTCTACATATTTTTAATATTTTCATTTCTTGCAAATAAGATATATGTAAAAATTAAAAATTTACAAGTAACAAAATAAAAAATGATTAAATTTGTTGATAGTGATAATTAGAGAGCGGATTTTTATGTAAAAACATGTTTTTAATGGATGTATGTACAACCATGAGAGTAAAATATGTCAACGATTTACAGTACAAAGAATCTGAATAGACAATTTTATTTTCCATAGAAGTACATATTTCGATGCTAAAAGAATATATTCATATAAAATAATTTGTTTGCATATTTGACTAATTAAAAATGTATGAATTGAAATATTTCCAGTAATTAAACAAATTATGTATATTTCAACCGCTGCAGTAAATTTTTTCTGTTTTATAATAATTTATTAATGGGTACGTCGTACGATAGTTTTCTATGCCACTACAATTTGATAGTTGGCAAATAATAATGGAGTGCGAAAATTATTATTTTACTGTTTATGATAATACGAATACGGTAAATGACGTTGATACACGTCCTGTTAGTCGAATTTTTGATATTTAGTTATCATTTTACAGACAACAAACTACCTACGCCCCGAATAATTGATAATAATTTGTTTCCGCATAAATTATCACACGTTTTTCTCCAGTGATAACAAATTATCGTTTTTATTCAAAGTCTAACAAAAGTTTAAAAAAAAAATCTGATACTGAGGATGGGAGCAGTCATTGTAAGTGAAAAGTCGGGAAAGTAGGATACATAAGGTTATTTTATTTATATCTGCAATCAACGATAAACCATTACTCGATGATAGATTCCGAGTGCAGTTCGGTAATACTTAATTTAAAGGGCGGTATTTTTTTTGCGATTTTCGTTTAAATTTGATTTCAAAACGCTTATTAAAAAAAAAAAAATAGTCCGATCATTTTGGAAATTTTAGGTTAGGTAAATCAAATATAAGTATAATTATCGAGTTTCAAGTCTCTACGTATATTTATAACCAAATTACAGTAAAAAAAACTTCCAAAAATTTAAATTCCTTAAAAGCTCAAAAGTTTTGGCAATGATACCGTAAGAAAGTAAACTAAAAAGTATCCTGTGATTTTTCCATTAAATCATTTTTTTTTTTAGTAGAAAACGTCGCCGTATTTTTTTAATATAACGGAATCGTGAAACTGTACGTTTTCCTACGTTTTTTCGTTTTTTACGTTAAGTGCTTTTATTTAAAAAATGGCGTCGAAAATTTTAAAATAACCGTTTTCTAGACAACTTGAGCTTTCAGAAAAGTTGCTACACGTAAAAATCGGAGCAAGTTTACTAGGAAAAAAAATTTCCACAAACTATAATACAAACTAAACAAACTAAAATAAAATTTAAAAAATAAACAGTATTGTAAAACTAATAGCTTTCTAACTACACTCGGAATCTAAAATCATTTTTTTGTATTTTGTGACTGTTGTGCTTTGATTTACACGTTTTAATTCAATGAAATGCCATAATAACGACCTAAAAAAATGAGTTTATTATTATTTTAATAATGTTTTTGATTTTTTTAATTATTATTTATTAAATTTGTTTCGCATATAAGTACATATTTTGATGTTAAGTATTCTTGCATATTTTCAGAGAATATAAATCCGCGCTCTAGTGATATAAAAATCGGAGAAATCGGAGAGGTGTGTAGTTTAGCTCCCATATCAAGTCTTTATCAAGTAAATACTAAGTACCTATACCACAACCAGTATTATAGACTTATGCTCTTCCCGCATAATATTTGGTCTATTTTTGCCTGTCGCCTATGGCATATAGGTGACGGTGGTATATAATGGTAAATAATAATCTAGCCTTATCACACGATTCGTCGGTATAGGTATTTTGTATACTGTAAATTAACGCATATAATTGAAAATCGTTCGCGACGCATAATCGCGGGATTTAACTACCTATAAATGGTTATAATATAAGTAAGTGCTTGTCTGAAAATAAGCGTTACGATAAGTGCCCGTTTAAGTTGAACGAATAGCATAACCAAAACGGCTAAACGTTAAACAAAAATAATAGGTTTGTTCCTCCTGCAGTGGGCCGTCTATACACTATACATACCTATACAGATTAAATCTAGAAAGTTACGTGTATAATTTATTTTTGCGAATCGTTATGGCTACGGTATACATCTGTTGGAACGTAGATACTTATATATTATATTATATTGTTACAATGTTATTTAGGCGAAAGTTTTTAACGCGTGTGACGCGGTTTGTTTTTTTATTTTATTTTGTAGTAGATGCGTCTTAAAGGCGAGGTTGTCATCGATATGGCCGGTGTACGCGTTTTCCGACGCAATAATATGGCTACCTATTACTACCTAGTAAAACTAGTTTTACACTTGACGGTGTCGATGTGTATACACTAATGGTGTACATAATATTATTATATATTTATGTTTATTGGAATTGAAAACGTATCTATCTATTATATATGTTTGACATATTTTTAGAATAATAATAAAAAAAAAATATTCATGAAAAAAAAAAAAATTAGATAAAACTCGATCAAATTATGTACAGATATAATATTATATGTGTCATAATATAACGTAGTCTATCGAAAAAATTGGTAGTGTTGTAAAAAATCTATGATGTGTCTAACCCGATAGCAAATATATTAGGTGCCGAGGAAATTGTATGAAACAAAAAACTTCCCTTAAAAATAGGTCTTGTGATTTTTTTACTATTTTTTTTTTTTTTTAGTTTCTGAAAATCGACAACTGATTTGAAGAAATAATGGTACTGGAAGTTAAATCACTCGCAGAGGGATACTATACATAATAATGTAATATGAATGCATCTTGTATTTGGTTCAATGTTGTTAAGAAAACGGATACAATTGTTCGTGTCGAATTACATAAGAACACCTTATTGAATGCGCGTGACCAATTTATTTCAGTATTTTTAATTTGCCTTTATTGATTGTAAATTCGACCGTAGGGTTGAACAATAGCGCGCGTTCGGCAGTAAATATTCACGATTCTACATCATTAGCGGGGAAATGTCTATTTTCGATCGGAATAAAGATCCTCAGAAAACAATTGTTAAATTTAATAATGTACGTGCAGTTATGCGTTATACGAAAATTGCACAGCCGACATATTATATTTTGATTGTTAAGATCGATTTGAAGTTTTGAAGAGCATATCCCTATAGTAGTTATAGACAATAACGATAATGAATTAATGGTGTTAATAATTTTGTTTTTACTTTATTATTTTATTAATAATGATTTATCGAAGAAAACGCTACTTCGCTGTCCGATTATACATAAACCTGTTATAGAATTTAAATAAAATTACAATAATTTCGGAAGAATATAGCTTTAGTGTGCGATAAAGAATTTGTGTCACTCGACTGTTGATTGGAATTTGTTAGATTCTGAGTGGAGCGGAGAACCTTATGGGTTTGTAAAGCTGTTTATTTTTTTTTCTGCGAACAACTTTTCTACCAGAAATTTTGCTCCATCTTATAATGATAGCAATTTTTCTGAAAGGAAATTTCACTGGGGAGGTACTTTAGAGAACAGATTTTCCCCGGAGTTTTTTCAGCGCGTGTGAAAAACTGGGAAAAAAAAACATGGGAAAACGTAGGAAAACCGGATATATAGTATAGCTATACCTTATTATATATTGTGTTGTTTGGTTTTGTAAAATTATTTTGGAACACGTTTAATATCGGATATCTTGTTCGATTGTAAGAGTTTCTGTACAAAGATAAAATAAGAATGCTGTTAGGCAATATGTATAGTAGTTAACCTGATTTGAAATCTGGACGAACCCAATTTATGTAACAGATACATACTTCGTTTAAACATATTCTGTTGCGTTCTAATAGTAGCGTTTTATAGTAGCATTTAATTAATATAATATAATACCTATATGTGCTATTATATTTTAAAAATCACTGCCTGAATTGTGTACTGGATTTTACTGAAATTACTAGGAAAAGTGCGGGGACAATGAAATCACTACAGGTTAGTCAATGGGAAGGTGTTAAATATCGAATTCACGACATAATCTTTTAAGGCAGTTCTTATTTTACCAATTACATTTTATATTTACTGAAATATGTAATATATTATTTTGTTCATACAAATAAAATCTGACGAACGGTAATTGATTTAAACTTTATGGTATCATCGTTTACTTCCTCCGACATTATTGAATAGGTTGTATTTTTTTTTTTTTTTTGATAAACAATCTTATTTAAAAAAAAAAGAGCTAATTCTGCTGATGGGTACGCCACTGTTTTAGGTGGAAAGTCGGGATGGTTAGATATATAAAGTTATTTAATTTATATCTGTAAGCAACGATAAACCATTGATAACTAAAAACGATTCGCAATTCGGTCATAAATGTTTTAAAAAGACGTAATATTTATCATCAAAATTTTAAAACCTTTAAAAAAGTTTACACTACACTTTTTTTTTATCACTTAGTATACAACTTATTATGAACCTTCTGTTAAATTTCAAACATTTCTATTCAGTCAACCAATTATATCTACATACAGGGTATCTTACGAAGGTATCCATTGCAATACCTCCTGAGATATTAAGGTAATTAAATTTTTTTTTTTTGTATACATATATTACTCACAGGGATTATTAAGGTATATCTTTCCTTATTATCCTTCCCGACTGCAAATATTGAAAATATTAATAATTGAATTAAATTTTCATGTTTTGGTAAAAAACTAAGAGAATAACTTTTTATTTCATTATTATTGATAAATTTGAAAAGAATAATTTTATAGAGTTTTTATAATGTCAATTTTGGTGTTTCATCTTTTTATTCTCATTAAATTCGTGATTTTTAATAATTTGTTAAGTTCAGAGAAAAGTATCTATAATTATGCAGCAGGTTGTAATCGCATTCGCTAATTGATTATTATTATTACATCTAATTGACTGTAGACATTTTAAAATGGATAATTTAACATTTTTACACTATTAAAATTCAATTTTTTCATAAATAATAAAATAAAGTTATTTTTTTAAGTTTTTTAATAAAACATAAAAATTGAATTAAAATATAAATATTTGTAGTCCTTATCCCTATTAGTAATATAAAAAAAACTACGTAAAAAAAGACTGACAGAGATTCATTTAATGAGTGGGCCACTATTGTAGGTAAGCAGTTGGAAAGGTAGGATATAGAGGGGAATTTAATGTATATCTATATGCAAAGATTAATCATTGTTAACGAAAAATGATTCTGAACGCAGTTCGGTTACACATTTTTTGAAAAGCTGTAATATTTAGTTGTACTCTTCTGTAACTGAAAACCTATCGGTCATACATTCAAATTGTTAACAGTATTTCATACCTATTCGTATTTAAATATTATATTCTCGTAGTATCACGTCATTTTTTTGTTCGTAATAATGAAAAAATAATACCCGATTAATTAGGTAGTTAGATCTCTTTCCATCAGTCAATCTTAAACCAGAACACCATATTCATAAGCTTAGAAAATATTGTTTCCGAAATGAAATAGAAATAAGAACTGCAGACTTACTAAAAGCAACCTAACCGATAGGTTTAAGAGTTAAAAGGCAAAACACCTAGTTATATCAAAAGAAGTCAGAGATAGGCTAATTTGCAAATTGATGGATATATCTTCCAGCAACTAACAGACTTTAGACAACTATAAAAACTAATATAAATAACTAAACAAATATGCACAAAGAAATTAAATTAAGAATTGTATCAGGATATTTTGCAGTGGAAAATTGTTAACTCCTATACAAAATATCAAAATAATACCTATATTCTAGCTGTTTTTTACCTAGTATTGACTTATGGGTGTGAATCATGATCGTTAGTAAAAAATGTTTTTACATAAGTTATTTTTTATATTCTGAAAGGAGCAAGCAAGGAATGTATTAGTTTTACAATGATACGTATTTTTTTTTTTTGTGGACATCTTTTTAAACAGCAATTATTTTGCTGTTATTTAATTATAAAATATTATATACCCATATACAGGGGCAAATCCAGAACAAGACATCAGGGAGAAGAGGCGATTTTCAAAATGCATATAAAGCATATATTTATGATGAGCTTAATGATGAATCAAGCTAAGAATAGATTAGAGAATGAACCCCTGAATCTACCACTAGCTGCTTATACGTATCGAACAACAATAATTAAATTTTAATCTTGCTTTTCGTAATATTCTAGTTATTATAATTTGTCCTCCCAACTTGTAAAATTGAATTCCTATAAATATATTTATTCATAATATATATGCCTGGCAAATATTGTATTATATTCTCGAGCTACTGCGATATTGGATTTTGTGAAATTAACGTTAGAATGAATTTAATATATATATATATAAAACCTTTAACTTCTATAATAATAATAATAATAATAATAATATATTTCGACCAACCATAACCGTAACATAATATTATTATAAACGAACACAGACGTTATTTGCAGGTGGTATACAACGTGCATTCCCCTGTTGTTATTCATCCGTTCCCATCACCTGCAGCAGAAGGCAATATAAAATATTGTACATTTTGACGACAATAATGTACTTGTATTTATTGTTTAAAATTCTTAACTTTTATTTTATAAATCAACAATATTGAAGTTATTAATACAATAATACATATATTACTGTTAAGAAAACAACGCGAACATACATACATTTTGTAAATATTATAATATTGTTAAATTATTTGTACAGTACAATAACCATGCAATTTTTATTTACATCCCCCAACCTTATAAAATTAATAATCAAATCACTTACGTAAAGTTTCTGGGAGCTCTACAAATTAATAATATGTTGTGTCACTAGCCAATACGAATGATATAACTATCACTGACATAGTTTTTGGGTTGAATTTCCAATATGCGGGTGCCAGCGTGACGGAACTATATTATGATAATTATAATATTAAATTATTATAATAACATTAGGACACACTTTTCATAACTAAATTCATTTATTCCCATAATAACATTAATATTATATTTGAAAAGCAATGTTCGTTATTGAAAGCTCTTAAGAAAAAGATGTTTAAAAATAATAAATTGATATAATAATCAGTCTATTCGGTATTAAACTTAATTTAAAATAAACTCATAACATTTTAGTTTTATAATGACAATCGAAAATATCAAAATGTCAAATATTTTACACCTGTACATACATAATATATAAAATTATGCTTACAGGAAACATATTTAATCTGCTATAAATATAAGCAGTTTTTGTTTTAAAAAAAAATATATTTTTTTTTAATTTTAAAAACTAATTTCACTTTCATGTAGTACCTACTTAAAATTATTGTCGTAATAATAATTTGTTTTTTTTTTTTTTTTATTAATAAATGGATCGTTATGGTTGTTTCATATCAATTATTATTTATTATACATTCAATAGTAATTTAAATGTTCCACTTGTAAAGACTGAATAAGCAAATGACACAGGAAAATAATTAAATATATATATATATATATGTATACAGGTACATTGCCTACCTATACAATTATTAAAACCATCGTTTTTTATAGAGAAAGTGTTTATTCTATGTATAAAAACTATACTTAAATTACATCAAAAGAAAAAATGTATAATGTTATTACTGTAAATAAAAATAAAATATAAAACTGTTTTTTTTTTTCCAAAAATTTTCGAATTCATTTTTCATTTTTTGTTTTAACATTAATGATAACACTAAGTGATTGTGAATCAACCCACGACGGTATCTATATTATAGTAATGAGTGTAGGGGAAGTCGGTGTGTGCATCACGGATGACCGGAACCAATGATGAACATCGTAGTGTTGATTGTTTAAAAAAATAATAAACCGGATAAACATTATTATAATTTTAGACACGTTGTGAACATTTTTTCGTAAAAGAATCCATTTTAATCGAACACATGCACTAGGTAATCGTTATTTTATATTATAGAATCTCATTAAGAATTATTTTTATGTACATGAGCAAAAAAAAATACACAACAGTTTTATTATATTTCTTAAGCGCGGGGCTATTATTTCTCAAATTATTATTTTTTTGTTCACACACACACACACACACACACACACACATTCACATAGATTGCAGAAAATAATGACAGCGTTGTTATACTGTACTGCTATGGATTCACGTGCTTGATATTTTATACGTTATGAGGTTAAATATATGGTCGGTATAAGTATGTATAAGTAAATATTGTTATTATGCCGTACATACGTACATACTTATATAGACATGGGAACGCTTTCTCCCAGTTGAGGTAGTTTTTGATATAGTAATGAATAATAATAATAATAATCGTGTATAACAACCAAATATTCTATTCGTACGCTCGCGTCACTGTCACCAAAATGAAATTCGAGCTTCTGAGCCTATTATAAATTGCGGTCTATAATATTAAATTTAGTCGGTATGGTTATAGTGTAAAAGGTATACACCTAATACCTACACATTCTTTGAAATGTTCACTATTTTCAATTAGATATACTTAAACTGTAAAGAAATACGTACATATTATATTTAAATAAATTACCTATAGTCTTGTTAATACAGTATTTTTACACTCAAATCTTGTAATCAAATTTACTATCCGTTTGAGAATTTTGTATTGAATCGAAAATCATGAGAACCAATACCTTTTTGGGGGTGCATACCAGACAGTGACAGTGACCTCTTTGTTTTGAAAGTAATTTAATCAAGATCGGAATAAAACTGTAGATTCGTATTAAGAGCAGACTTCCATAAGTGTGTAATATAACACAATATAAATAGTAAAAACAAAATCTATGGATACTGAACACTGGACAAGACTATTATATATAATTGTGTGTGTGTGTGTGTGTGTGTGTGTGTATATATATTATAGACAAAAGCCGAAATCAGACAAAACTCAGAAATGCCTGGGTAAAACGTGAAGTGTCCACGATACTTAGGCAAAACGTCATAGTTCGGCTTTTGCCCGGACAAACGTAGTTGTACCCACCTCATTCGGGCTAATCTGTAACGTCAATTTTGTAACGTAAATTTCAACTTTTCACAGTAGGTAGGTACCATGTTTACAATACTCTACTATTAATATTACAATACTAGCTCTCATCAGTAATAAATTGGTTCTTGCACGGAAATATCTGGTTTTTAACGTAAAACCGTTAAACGATAAAGTGACAATTTAAAATAAACATTTGGGCAAAACCGTTACTTTTGTTTTAAAATTTATTTAATACATCTATTTAATAGGTTTATTTATTATTATAAAATAAATGTTTGGGCGTTACAGATTTGCCCGAATGAGGTTGGTCACAACTACGTTTGTCCGGGTAAAATCCGAAATATGACGTTTTGGCTTTTTCCCGTAACACGTATAAAAGTATATAAGGCAAATAGGCAAATAATAAGACAAATCAATAAGTCGTAAATCCTTATTGTTTTAGTTGTCTATTTAAAAGTTGTAATCCATCGATAACCATATCAGGTAACTTCAGCTTCTCTTTCACATTCATCTCAACTATTTGGGGTCGGCCCCACATCGTTCTCGCACATATTCGCCATCCTCGTGTATTCTCAATCGTACCTAATCCTCTATTTTCGGTCTTTCTCTTCCCTTCTTTTCTCCTACGTCTATTATTAGTACAATTCTTACTGCTTCTGATTGCTATCTCCTCATAAAATGCCCAAACAATCTCAGCCTATTTTCTCACGTTTTGTCCACTATTAAAACCACACCTAAGCTATTCCTCATATACTCATTCCTTCTTTTCTCGTCACTCAACTCATCCACCTAAACATTCTCATCTCTGCTACACTTATTCTCTGTTCTATTTTTTGTTCAGCGCCCAACACTCCGAACCATAGAATACAGCCGGTCCACCACACCCTTTTAGAATTCACCTTTAAGTCTCATTGAAATCTTCTTGTCACATAAAACACCTTACGATTCTCTTCATTTATCCAACCACACTTAATCCTATGTTTCACATTTTTGTCAAAGCCATCATCCTTTTGTAAAAAAGGTCCTAGGTACTCAAAACATTCAACCCCGCCTATTGCGTCATCGCTAGTTGTTATCAGCCGTCTTGTCCTGTTTCTTTAAACTCAAACTTTATATCCTATTGGACACATAATAGTAATTTAATTTTTTTTTTTTTATAACTTTTTAAGATAATATATTGACGAAAATCATAAATATTACGGCCTTTTAAATCCTGTATAAACGAATTTCGCTCAGAATCATTTTTCATTAGTAATGGCTTATCGTTGTTACAGATATAAATTAAATAATTTTATGTATCCTACCTTTCCAGCTTCCCACCTACAACAGTAGTAAATCCATCCGCAATATCGCTAATATCAGCTCTTTTATTTATTTTTAGATTCGGAACGGAGCATAAATTCTATTAAAAATTAAGCATAAGGCAGCTTTATTTTGGGACAAAGTTTGATTGCTTAACCGAATGAATATTTCTTTACAGAAATAAAAACCTATACGCTTACTATAATTTTGAACATAAAATTACTATTTAGGGGTGATTACTATTTTAGTTGTTGAAGCCTCTTGAAATGTATTTCATACGATTACATTTTTAGGACTTCGGTACCATTGTAATAAGTATTTTTGTTTTCTTTCCCGGTATTATATTTTATCTTTTAAAATATATATATATATATACTTATACAAGCAAGTGAAATTTTAATTATTCATTAGTTAATCATTTTAAAAACAAAAGTGAAATCAATAGAACAAAAGAAATGTAGCCTACCTCAATTAGTAGGTATGTACTTCGAAATGTAACTGAAATTTTTTTTTTTTTTTTAAAACGATTAAACATAATCGATTAATTTTAGATTTCATAATAATTTGGTAGGCACATAATAATTAATATATTATATCTGCTATACGTCATATTATATTGTATGGACAATAGATATTGAGAATATATATAGCCTTTGATCGTAAGTACTAATTTTATTACATCCGAATAATAATCATCAATGTGTATGCTTTATAAATTCTAAGGATACCATAAAAGATTTATTAAATAATTAAACTAATTAGTAATTATTCAAAAATAATAGGTATGTATAGATTTTTCTGGTTTTCCACTTCAAGAAGCGCATTTTTGAAATTGTTTTTGTAGATGAAATAATATTAGTATTTAAGACGACATAACAGTATATTTATTAGTATATTTTACATTTATATACATCTTGTAGTATTGATTTCGAAAACTAATACAGACGATGTTTATTTAACGAGGTCATATTTTATCAAATGCTCCAGTTTATAATATTATAATGTCCAGAAAATTACGAAAACGACCGGAAAACGATAAAATATCATCATACAGTAATATAAGATATATAAGATAACCATATAATATTTACTGTCATTTATTTTTATTCGTATATATCCAATAACAAGTTTGTTATATATTTAAACAATTATCTGCATTGCAATTTTGTATATAATAGAAAATAATAACCAATCATTTAAAAACCTAATCAGAGTAATATTTTATATTTATTTAAGCAGGCACTTATTATTTATAAATATTTAGCAGATGGGCACCTACAACTAAGAGATCCTGTATAATAATGGGAGAGTGGCCAACTAGGGAACCGTTTTGTCATGGGTGACGGACATTTTGTGACTTTTCTAATGTTCTACCGTTGTAAATGCCAGGTGTGTAACCGCCTTAGCGCTATTAGTCGTCATTTTTATTACTATAATATACTCAATGCTGTCTCATGAAACACAAAGCAGCTGTCCAATCTCATATACGAGTATAATATATGTCTTATATACGTCGTATACCTCATTTATATATATATATATATACTGTATAGGCGCTCTATACTTACAACTACCGTGTAATGAATGTAAAATATGATATTATAATGTAAATAGTCAGTATATTATGTCGTAGGTATGTTTTTATGGAAAAAATAATATAATACACTAGAGACTACAGCGATAATAGTAAGCATGTACGCGAATTAATCTAATCCAAAACATAATATACAATGTATCGTATATAAAATATAAATCAATACAATAATATGTTTTCACATAAAAAAAAAACCTTCGACATAAAAAAACGCCCTTGACCAATATTTACAGACATTGAATTTGTTTGAAATAATATTATAGTCTGAATATATGGTTTACAACATTTTTCATACCTATTACCTATACCTATCTATTTGCAATAAAGTTTGGCAATTTGGGTAAACGGAACAATCACATTATTATCTTGCCCATACACATCGATATCTACATACACATATATGTAGGTATAATCGTGTGGAATTTATTTATAATGATTATATTTAGTTCAATTTAAAATAAAATATAAATTATAATAATAAATATCAATATTGTATGCGATATCTTGAAAAAATCTTAACTTTGCTAACTTACCATTGGGTGTATTATAGTATTGGACAATTACTTAGACAAATTATTACGTTGGACACATTCTTTTCGTTTAGGCGAAGTAATTTATTATTATTTTGCTTTTCGGCTATTGGCGGTTTATAAACGTAGGTATTTCTCCATTAAAAATCATAATTTAATCGTATTTTTATAAATTATTTTTATTAACGAAGCAATAAATATTTACTTCGTTTATATTGCGTTCAAGTTAAATCCATATAAAATAAATAAATAATAGTAAATCTTTAAATATATTATTATTATTATTTTTTTTTTTTAAAGAATAAATAGCGTTTACTGAACAGTACTATTGTCCATCAAACATAAAGAGGACATTGACTCAATACTGAGAATGTACGACACAAATCGGTGACAGTCACATTGACCATATTTTTATTATATTCATTTATATATAGCAATAATATCTGTATGCGTTTAAAATATTATAAAACTTCTCGAAGTGTCACGCTGTTACGGTTTAAAAAAGATTTACCAAAGGATCACTGATATCAATCTTTTTAAATTATTATATTTAGCTTAGAAAAAAAAAATATAAGAATCATTTCATTGCATTAAACTTGTACCTATTACCTATTATTATAGAATATTTAAAATTTTAAAACACTTGAGATTTTGACAAAAGGTATTTAAATACCTAATGCATTTCATTATGTATTATAGTGATAAATATACTATACATCAGTGTTATACCCAGGATTTTTTAATGGGGGGAGGGGGGTAAAAATATTAAATTAAATTAATATTTAATATAAAATATATTGTCCAGCAAAATATATCTACATTTATTATAGAAAGTCTGTTTTTTGGGTTGTTTTACAAAATACATAATTGTTTAATATAATTATTTAAATATAGTAAATAAATATATAAATAAAAATGTATGTATAAAATAAAAATAATAAATGAATAAATGCGTCGCCTGGAGTATTATGATAAGTGTATTATACGACCGGTTTCGAATTAAAAATTCATCATCAGGTATAGCACAGTCAAAATGTAAAACGCGATATCATTATACTCCAGGCGACGCATTTATTCATTTATTTATTTTTTTATTTTTATACATACTTTTTTTTTTTATGTATACATTTTTTATTTATATATTTATTTACGAGTATTGACCATTTTAATAATTTTTTTATACTTTATTATTTTATTACAATTATTTAGTTGAGTAATTAGTGCAAATGTGCAATCAGCGAGATGAAATCGGTAAGATCCTGTTCATTTTTTCGAAAATTACGGCGGCTCTGGTTAGGTCAACAGTACTATCAACTTTATTAGTTTATTTTATTTAAACTACAAATTTGCTATTTTACCATGTCTTTAAATGCTAGTATAAGTATATTTTATTTCGGAAAAATTACAAAGAAAAATACAAAATCGATAATAAAAACCATAGTATTCCCATTTATCAGATATTTCTCTCTAGTTTTCTCCCGACTAAACAAAATTTGGTACCAAAAACTACCACTGAAGTTGATGACTGATGCAAGTTTTATGGTTAAAAATTCATAAAAAAACATAATATTAACACACATACCAAAGTAAATATGTATAAGAACTCGGCCCATAACTTAAATACAGGAAAAGACCCACTGTGTTCTTGGATAGTAGACTATTTAAATGGTCTATAAATGGTCCACTAACATTCGAAGATTTTTCAATAACCATTAAACGCAATTTGTTGCGCTGCAATACGATACGATTAACCCGCGTACATTGATATCAAAAATATACGTGCCTTCAATAACAATCGAATTTAAAAAATATATTTTTATAATACTTACCTAACATAATATATAATAGTGATTCAATGTATTATTATATTTATAAGTACCTATATGTTATACTTACTGATATATTTAATTTATAATATTATATGATCCACAATTCTATTCATACGTTTTATAAACGTGTTTTTTTTTTTATCATTATATAGAAGACCACGATTATCCTACAATTTTTACAGCTGCTATATACTTTTTAAGCAAAGAAAGAACTCCTATGAAATACGTAAGGAGTTTTTTTAAATGTAAAACATTAAAATTGTTTACGCAAACGTATCTATATTAAAATAATATATGGCCACCTACCAGTATTCTATTCTGTCTAATTGAATAGACCTATAATTTTTAAAAAGAATGGCGTAATAGATTATATTTTATCGTCATTACCCGTACTTTTGTTTAGATTACGATTCCGCACTTTTTTCACTATTACGATTGCGTACTGTTCACCTGCCCGAATTTATCGCAACATTGCCATTTGTTACATATTTACAGGTAGTTATCGATTCTGTACGCTTCTTCTTTACTTATATATTATCCAGCTAGCATGCAGCAGATTATAATAAATTCAGTCGATTATGGCACCACGGTTGTAAATGATGGTATATCTACAACCGCTTAAAAATCCACTATTAACGATATAATACACTGGTTTGAACACTTCGGTAAACAATATAAAAGGTAAATTTCACTTATTGCTACCAAAACGTAGTAGCTAGTTCAACGATTTCTCATTCGATTTGCCTGAAAGTAAAAATTGACAAAACCAAATAAGTAATTAAAATCAAATGTCGTTATTGCTATTCGTATTTACTGGTACTAGGTAATTTACTGAGCTCTAGAGTCCTCTCAAAAGAGGTGAAAATTCAGTTAAATTTGACAATCATACGACCAATAGTCATGTATGGATCACAATGTTGAACGTTACGAAAAACAGAGGAAGACTGCTAGACTACACGTGTTCGAGAGGAAGGTGCTACGAAAAATATACGAACCTATTTATGGTCGAGGCATTCAAGTATATAGGAAAAGACATAATCAAGAACTCTTGGATATATTCAAAAGATCAAGTATTGTGAACGAAATTAAACAGAGTAAGTTAGAATGAGCAGCCCACGCATGTAAAAACAAAGTTCTATGATGCAAAGAGTGCTCCAAGAAAACCGAAGGAACAAAAGGTCATTGAGTAGACCAAGGTTGTCAGAAAAGATTTCCTAAAAGCTAGAGGAGAAAATTATGGACACTGGGACTGGAAGGCAGCAGCGGAGAATAAAGAAGATTTGTAATAAGGCAAGATAGTCCCAAAGGCGAGAAAAATAAATAAAAAAAAACGAGTATGTATAACGCTATGCATTGGTATAAAAATCAAGATAAAACTATATTATCTATACATATTAAGAAAACTATGTAGTTTTATACGATTTTCTAGTGCTCCATAGCCCTAAACCTAAATTGATTTCAATTTAAAAATTATAAGCGTACGTGTTTTTTCCGTGGATCATGTAAAAGTAACAAAACGTGTACAAATATATAGTGATGTTTTGTTTGTAAACACTGTGAAAACACGGTGTTAGCAAATGGCAACGTTTCACTCATTTCGCACGGAATCGTACTAGATTAAGGGTTAGGTAGTAAAATTTTAAGCGGTATCGTAAACGGGTGGAATCGTAAGTACCTACGACGTTATTGTGTTGTAACAAACTTGCGTGTTATAAGTAATATTCACGTAACAATGTTATAGTTTTTTGTTTTCCAGCCGTAATATGAAATCGAATAAAATGAACAATTGAAAATATTTTATACCGACCCGAGCTAAGCGAAACAACTGCTGTAGTTAATGTAGGTATTTAAGACTCCAGGGTTTATATTTTTTTTTTAGAATTTTATTTTATTTTTTTTCAAATTAAATTCGAATTTTAGTAGGTATATTATTATTTACGTTCGCGATGTAGGTAATAGCTACTCATAAAATGTACAAATTGTACAAATTAATGTCTCCAATGTCTTGTATTTTATACTAACCGGCTTATGTAGCCATATAGGTGTTTAACGATCCAACATTCCGCAACTCGTCTGCCATTATACCGTTAGAATTGGTATTAGGTACCTATACTGTATTATTATAATGTATATATATTACATATGCATTTGAAGGAGTGGTATAGGAGAAGAGATTTCTATGAAATACACTCGGCAAGAAGAACCTTCTGGATAAATAATAATAATATGAAACCTTCGGCCACAAAAAAAAAAAATAAAAAAAAAAAAGAAAGATCTACTTTTAAATAGACTATAACTACTATATATGTTTATACAAATAAATTCCGCGCGAACTCTAAACACCGATTGGATGTTATTGAAAAAAATAAAATAATAACAATAATTTAGATTCTACGGATTCTAATCGTTCGGTAGTAAACGGGTGTTATTCGCGGATCGGTGCTGATTCAATTAGCGCCGCAACAGAGTATGCAGCACAGCAGCTAATGTTGGTATATAAAATGGTAATCGATAAAACCGTGCTATGAATAACCTAAAAAATAAAATCCAAAATATATATCTATACATACATACATACAGGTATGCGTTTAGGTATTTTAATTTAGTGTGTTTAATCTGCCGGTAAAATACTGGAATAGTTTTTTTTTTTTTTTTTTGTAATACTATACGGTCGTTGCATAGAATATATAACAATAATAATACCTATAATATCATTGAACGCAGTTTAGAGACATTTAAAGAAATAATAATTAATTCGAAACGTATTCTAAAAACATGTTTTGTTACATCTATGCTCGCGGATCTAACGCTACCGGCTACCGAAATTTGTTCGATTATTATTCTTACACGATAAAATAATATTATATTTAATACGATTTTTACGGAATAACGAATTCGGTACGAAATATTAATTCTATATGCGTCATCAACGTTTGCAGTTTCAACGCGTAAACGTAATAAATTATTTTAGGCGGGTACCCGGTTCCATATAATTATAAATACTGGTTTCATACTATTATAATAATATTACACGAAAATTCTTGTTTAATTTGTAAGCGATGTTCATACACGATATTTTCAACAAAAGACCGTCACAATTGCATTTGCATCCGTTCTTATCTCAAAAAGAAATTCGGGTTTAGAGATCAAACACATAATATGATAAAATTTATAAATGACGAAATTTAAATATGATATTCGTCATATTTCGTATTTTATTTCTCATCATTAACGAAAAGTATAAAAATCGTATTTTATATTTTATTTTTTTTTTTTTCCCAAAACAACTAACTTTTTTAATAATTCATATTTCAGATAAATTTCGATGTCGTTGTGTTCGGAATTTTATCGTTTAAAAATTGTATTATAAGATTCTGAGCATGTATTGATTGATGAAATGGATTTGGCCAAACAGAAATTATTGAAAATTTAATCACGAGGTTCATTACATGTTATATTTAGCAGTGAGTGAATAATGTAATCTTTTTTTTTTTTTTAATTTTAAGTACAAATTTGACGAAAATTGTAAAAATTATGTCATTTCAAAACATGTATAATTGAGCTTCGATCAGACTCGTATTTCGTTGGCAATGATTTTTCGTTGCGTACAAACTAAAAATATAAATAAAAATAAAACTCGATGTGTTCTACCTTCCTAACTTCCCATCTACAACAGTGACACACCCATCATCAGAAATATCAGCTCTTTTTTTGTTATATCGCTAGTCAGATAGACGGCAATAATTTCAACTGTGACGACCTCTTTTAACGACTATGTCTGCGAATTGTTGCCCGGTCAAGTATCTAACCAAAACGTACGTGCGGTTTTTTCACGTCTTATTACTGTTATAATTATATGTCTTATTACTATTATAAATATCGTATAATAAGTATACACTAGTACCTATTCTGTATTCATCAACATGTGATATAATACAAGTACTACTTGTATTATAATATTTGATAGAAGAAAAGCCGAACATATTTTCTATTATTCGACAATATTTTTTTGTTGTATACAATTATTATTAATAACAAACAACAGTATAATATTCAAATCGCGACAAATTCTAAAACATTACTTTTATAATATAATTGACGTTGTGAGGTTATAAAAATCTATAAAGTCTAAATTTATAAAATTATAATGTTTATCGATAGGTATAGTATATTATAATGAATTTGTACGGTAAATAGTTTAAATTTAGATAAAGAAAAAAAAAAATCAACTATACAATATTTATTGAGTAATATAATACCTTCAAGCGAATATTAATTTTAAGGGCCCTGCTCGTGACTTTTTACACGTCTTAATAACGCATTGTTAAAATTTACAAATCACAAATCTTAACAAATAGTTCAATAGTTTGGTTTTTATTTTTATATATTAAGAGGCCTGCGCATGACCTGTTTTTTGTTACCCAAAACATGTTTTACAAGACGAAAATTAGTGCCTCGTCGTACAGAGTGATCTGATTTCGATAATTTTTTAATTTTTTCTACTGAAAAGAGGAAGCCTTTCTACAAAGCGAATCCTACTTCTATTTTTCATTGTCTAACCAAAAACTACGAACAATGAGTTTAAAATAAATGATATAAATTAGACATATTTAAACACAAATTGTGTATCGTTAAATACATAATATTTCAAATCCTAGTCTAATATGTAACCTGGAAGAAATCTCCCGCTTTCTAGTGAGAAGCAAATGATGAATAAAGTCGATTATACTATACAGAGCAACAGTTTTTTCTTAAAAGTATAAAATGTAGTAATAAAAGCAAGCTCCCTTATTGTTACAACTAAACGCATTTAGCCATATTCCCTAATTATTTTCAACCAGTAATGCAACTTAATTAATTTTACATTTACAAATTATAAAATAAATATTTATTGACACCATGGTTTAAACCAGCTCTAGGTGTACTATGGTTTTTGTTTATGTGTTATAGTCACTAAATGTGATTTGTATCATCAAAATGCATACATATATTATGCTGCAGGTATACCGTATACTCTTGTTTTTCTACTGTATGATGTCATTATAATTGCGAAATTAAATATATCTAATGATATTATACTTGAGAAGTAAAGTTCAATATAATTATTAGGCAGGCACGAGAGAACGTGGGAACTGAAAAACTACATTTTTTTTTTTAAATTGAAACAATTTTACCGTTGAGATCTCCGATTTAAGCTATGATAAAAATTATATATATATATATATATATATATGTGTGTGTGTGTGTGTGTGTGTGTAGTTATCAATGGGTGTTCTTAATAACATTATTAGACGAGTTTGTCCGCAATTCGATATATCTGTGTAACGATATCGTGATGAAAAAAAACAACCATTCTAATAATTATTATTATTGTGCGGTCCAAAAACGTGTACTTTATGTAACATTTTTCGGATTACAGCGTAAAGCTATCATTATAGCGGGGCCATGGCTATCAATTATTTATAAACTAAATGTTGTACGGTATAAATAGTTGCGTAGTGAAAGGACCACAGTAATGTCGGAGCAGTCTTAATTTATTATAATATTATAGGTATCGGTCAACAGACCGATAATCGATATTAATAATAATTAATGATCACCCTCAGCTATGCGCCTATAACCAATAATGTCATCACCGTCCGTCGATTTGCGTTCAAACTTTCAGCCGTCAAATAAACGTTAAATATCATAAGTACTATATTATGTGTTTATGTCACGCACAGATTGGTCATGCTTATCAGATGGAAGGACGTGCTGCTGATAGCACTGGTCTCGGCCATAGCTGCCATTAACACGTGTCTTTCCGCCACCACGTCGTGCGAAGACTTGCAGGCGGATTTCCGGTACCCCTGTGTTTGCGAGGAACTCAGTCAGATCGGTGGTTTGGCGTTGAATTGCGACGGCGTTGTTTATCCGGGTGACCACGTGAATTTACCGAAAGACGTTCCGGTGTTGGTGTTCACCCAGAGAAATGCCGGTCACCATTCTGTGCCTACGCAACTTTTCCCGTCTACGGGTAAGAGTGCTATTGGAACAGCAAATTCGTGCGTCGTTTAGACGCACAGTGTTAGAAATACATACCTACCTATCCTAATATAACTAATTTCGTTCGTCTTTAGTCAAACTAGATTTGTCTCAAAATTCCATTAGACGACTGTTGGAAAAGTCGTTCAGCACCGTACAGAATACGGTAGAAGATCTAAGGTTAGCCGGTAACCTATTAGGCGACACATTAAATCCGATATTTTCGTCTACGGAATTTCACGGTTTATCGAAACTCATACGATTGGATCTCAGCGAAAACAGGATATCTTCGCTGGAGGAAGGGATTTTAAAGGGTTGTCTTAATTTAGAGGTATTTTAATACTATATTTATAGGTATCACAAAAAATACATATTTTACTATAGAAAAATGCGTTTTTAATTTTGTTATAATTTTACAGGAACTCAAATTAGACGGTAACCGATTAGCGTTTATACCTAGCTCATCGCTCAACGGCCCAGAATCACTACGAACATTATCTCTAAAAAATAACCGAATAGGTATGTTTATCGCGTGGTATAACTAATTTTTAATGCTTATTTAATATATATTATGTCTATATATATATATATATATATTTATATTATAATATGCTATTGCAGATAGTATACAACATGGGTCGTTTGTTTCACAAAAATCATTGACACTAATAGACTTATCGTCGAATAGAGTGAACAACATTGAAATAGGAGCATTTGAAGGTTTATCAATGTTAAAACAGCTCATATTGTCCGAAAATCGTCTGTCAAAATTTAATAGTGACGTTTTTTATGGTAATATATTAATAGAAAAACTTGATAGACCGTTTAATTGCATGATGAATTTTTTTTTTTTAGGTGCGGAAAAACTGGAGAAATTAGACGTTTCAAACAATTTTATTGCCGAGTTTCCGACGGTCTCTTTAAAAAAATTTGACAATCTAAAAATACTGAATTTATCATCAAATTTGATACAAGTAAATACGTCTGTATATTATACAAATACATATTTAACACCTAGTATTTATTACCTATAATAATATAGTACGTATGAATTTATTATTATTTTAGAAATTGGAAAACACGCAATTAACATCGTTAGAAGTTTTAGATGTCAGTAGAAATAACATCGGAAATATTTCACCGGGAACTTTTATGAGCTTGAAGAAATTAAAAGTCTTAAACTTAGCCGTAAACATGTTAAGAACTGTACGTTTTAAAAATAAAAGTATTTATTGTTACTATTTATTAACAAAATAAATACAATTTTTAAATAGGTCGAAGATGACGCTTTTGAAGGCCTATCGTACCTCGAATCCTTGTCATTGGAAGATAATAATATTTTACTAATACCAGCCACGGCTCTCAGTAAATTACCACGTTTAAACAGACTACGTCTGGACTACAATAGAATTGCAGCACTTTCTTCGACTATTCTCAAAGGATTGTCAGAGATCTTACACGAATTAGGCTTAAGCAGAAACGTAATCAGAGAAATACCTCCAGATGTATTTCAAGTATGTGTTAACTAAAAAATGAACACCTTCGTGGCTATTCAGTTTTTTTTTTATCTAATATTAATATTACTGGTTTTATGTTTTTAGGATTTTAAATTCTTAAGAGTTCTTGATTTGTCCGGAAATTTACTGTTGTCTGTAGAATCGTCGACTTTCTCCGGCTTAGAAAACACGCTAGAATACTTAAATCTCCAAGGAAACCGGATTGCTTCGCTTTCGTCGGAGCCGATTAATCTTCAAAAGTTGAAAAACCTCGATCTGTCATACAATCAATTGAAAGAAATTCCCCGACACATGTTTACTTTAATGTCTTCGTTGTTGAGTTTAAACTTGAGCCACAATCCCCATTTGGCTTTGATACCTGTATCCGTGTTCCATCCCTTAACACAATTGCGAAAACTCGACATTAGTTTTACCAGTATAAAAGTTTTGAGTCCCGAACTGTTCTTCAAAACTTCATCACTTACTCATCTCTACATACAGAATAACGGTATCACCGAATTACCGGAGACCATGTTCCAAAGTTTAATAAACCTGATTATATTGGATTTATCAGAAAATCAAATATCAAACATACGAATTGGTTCGTTTATGGGCCTCACGTCCATTAAATATGTAAATTTGTCTAAAAATAAACTATCATCGTTCAAAGGTGAATATTTTATAACCAAACGGAGCAACGGAACTCCGTTGGAAGAAATAGACCTGTCTCATAATCAAATCAGTTATTTGTTCCCATCTACATTTAAAGTGCATCCAGATATTAAACTAATCAAAGTTTCAAATAACAAATTCAACTTTTTCCCGTCCGAGTTGATTGCCGGTTTAGCGCGTTTACAAGAAATAGATTTAAGCAGAAATAGTCTTAAAACCCTAGAAGAATTCGATTTTGCTGGTTTACCGAGACTGAAAAAAATAAATTTGGCTAACAACCAAATAGAGACTATAAGTGAGACAACGTTTCATAATTCTACACAACTACAAAATATTTATTTGGCCAACAATAATTTGGAACGTATTGGCGAAAGAACTTTCCAAGGGTTAAATAGATTACAATATTTGGATTTAGAAAACAATAATCTGACAGAATTGCCAGATTTGATTTTTGACCGAACACGGTTAAAAGTCCTGGAGAACATCAATTTAGCGAAAAATAAGTTTACCGTTGCTCCGTTGAAAAGTTTACAGAAACAATACTTTTTTTTGTCGTCGGTCGATTTGTCATCGAACCAACTGACCGAATTACAAACGGATGATAGCATTTTGGTAAACATTAAGAAACTCGACTTGTCGTTCAACCGTCTCTCCGAAACGTCTATTAAAAACATACTCAGTGAGCCCAAAACTGTGCGCGAACTGAACTTGGCGGGCACCGGCATAACGTTAGTATCGCCTTTAGAAACGCCATTTTTGCAGAAACTCAATTTATCTTACAACGAAATAGACACGTTGGACGAACATATGTTCGACAGAGCGACATTGATCGAGGAATTGGATTTGTCGCACAACGAGTTACGGAGTTTGACGGCTCTCAGGACTATTTGGCCAAAGCTGAATCAGGTACAGCTGGTGGATATCTCTTGGAATCCGATATCGAACATCGTTCTGGGTGACTTCGACAAGTTGGAATCATTACGGTCGTTGCGGATCAACAACTTGCTGGAATGCGACAAAATCGAAAAGAACGCGTTCAGGAATCTCGGAAATCTAGTGGAACTGAAAATGTACGACTTTCCGAAATTAGGATACTTGGATGTTACTGGACTGTTGAATTATTTACAGTCGTTGGAGACTTTGGAAATCGAAGTGAAAGACCCGTCCATCGGTAGCCAGCTGTCGGCCGCCATGAATCCGAGATTAAAGTCGTTGACGATACGGGGCCAGAGGATCACGTCGATATCGTCGGGCGCGTTGGCCGGACTCAAGTATCGTCAAGTACACATAAAAATCCAGAACACGTCCCTGACGAGTCTGCCCCCGTCACTGTTGATACCGTTGCCGCGGTCGTCGATCATCCAACTGGACGTGTTCGACAACCAGTTAACCACACTCACGTCGCAGTTCTTGTCGGCGCTGGATGACCGGCGAAGCCTGCTCAAGCTGAACGGGCTCCGGTCGAATCCCATCTATTGCGACTGTAACGTGCGGGCGTTGAGACGGTCGCCTCTGGCGCTGGACCTGGTGTGCGCGGCGCCCGCGTTCGTGGCCGGCAGCCTGCTGATCGAAATCCCGGACGACGACCTGACGTGCGACGTTAGCCGACAGACGACCACGACAACGACGACTACCTCGACGACGACCACCACCACTACGAGCACGGGTAGCCCGATCGTCAAGGCCCCGCACCACAAGAGCGCGCAGAGGACGACCACGGCGGAACCGGACATCATATGGTCGCTGCCGCCGCCGCCGGCCAACGCGGGCAACCTGCTGCAGAACAGTAAATCACCGGCCGGCGGCAAGTCGCCGGCGTCGCCGTCGTCGCCGAACCCGGCCGCGGCCGCCGCCATCACCAACGACGACACGCTCATCATCGGCATCGTGGCCGGCGTCGTGGTGTTCATCGCCATACTGGTGATCATCATCTGCATCGTCCGGATACGGCTGTCCACCGCCGAGTACAACTCGCACATGAACGCCCTGCCGCCGGTGCTCGGGGCCCCGATGCACTGCGCCAACCAGGCGTGTCCCTGTCCGAAGATGCCCGGCCAGATGTACCCGATGTCGGCCGCGCCGTCGTACGCCAACAGCTACGCGACGCTGCCCGCGCACAAGCTGTCGTCCGTGTCGTCGCCGCTCCGGCAGTCGTACAACACGCTCAACGCCGGCGGCGTGCCGTACACGCAGAACCCGTACTACATACCGTACGCCGGCGACGAGAAGGACTACAACCTGACCATGAGATGATGGCCGCCGCCGTCGCCGCGCGGCGTCACGGCGTTCCGCGCGTTTTACCGTCCGCGTTCCCGCGGTGCTTGCCGACCAAACTAAATGTTCGAACACCGTTCGGAAACCGTTTGGCGCGCGCCGCGGGCCGCAGACCGTGTTTTACCATAAGTATTGTAAATATAGATAAGAGGAAAAAAAAAAAAAAACAAACAAACCAACAAATTTTTTATAACGGTACCTATTTGAAAATTGTAGCACATATAAGTCTACCTAAAAACAATAATTGACCCTGAGCGTGCGTCTACTTGCAAACGTGATTATTTGTGCTTCGGACGAAACGTTACAAGAGGAAATTATCCGCGTGCAATTCGCATCTATAGATATTTTCAGGCAATCGAGAAGTACAATTTCGTGTATAAATTTTACGTACGTACGGGGTAGTTTTTATTATTATTATTATTATTGTTTTTTTTTTTTTTTTTTTTTTTTTTTTTTATCACGATCCAGTTCTCGGGAGGGTTTTTTTTCAACTATTACGCAAAAGTTTAAACGGATTATTTCAACACTATTTTCAAATTGTTACACTTACTCCGTATGCTTGAAACGAGAATTATTCACTGTTAATACTTTCAAACGGCGAACCCTCTCCGTCTTCTCCTTCTTATCAGGTCGGATTTAAAAAGATAATATTTGTCTACACATTTTGTATTACGTACGGCCATAACAAATACGGTTCTCTTTTCGAATCCGGATTAAAAAGAAATGGGAGGGAGGGGCCGCAATTTTAAAACCAAAAAGTCCACACGCGTATTTCAGGCAGTACGGAACAACAGTAGCCATTTCTAAGACGTTGTCAAATATAAAATCGCCGGTAGATTATTTTAATAACGCCTGAAAAAAGCCCGAAATCAATTTCACTCCTAGTCTTCAACCGCTGGATCGTGGTAGAAAAAAAAAAAATCGCCCCCTATAGGTGCTATTATTACGTTTTCTGAGCTTAATCGATTGGGAATTCGCATTTGTTTCCGCCGATCAGGCGGCCAATCCAACCTTGTCGTTGTTATCGTGGTGTACACCCAATAACGTCACCTGTAAATATCGAATTTAAATTTGTAAAAATCTAGACTCGACGGTTAATATGAGTGCGCCCGGGTGTGTATTGCGCAGCGGTCGTCCGCGGACCGCCGAACGACCCGGTCGTGTGATAATTATGTACACTAGTGATTACGCGATATTATTATAATTCATAGTGATTACGGTATTTATTATATTCGCTACCCCGTACCGCGTATCTAATCGCAGGCCCGCAGTCTCTCGTGTCGCGCTCTCTAAGCCCCGTGGCGATCGCTTCCTCTAACACCCCTCTTTAATTACCCCTACAGAAGAAAAAAAAACACCGGCCAAAATATCGGTTTTTTTTAATACCCCCCTCGTCGAAGAAAACAAAAAACCCGCTCTGCTTGTCACAACCGAAGACCACGGGCCTGTAATCTGTATTTATAATAATTTATGTGTATAATTATTGTTAAGTTGTCAGGTAGACGGTGGGGAATCACACGCAGCGGTAATCAAAATCACCCACACGTACTGTTATTATTTTGTATAAAGCTCGGTGTACCTACCTACAGTTGTACGAATGGTTTTTTTTATATTTTACGTATTTGAAGTTTAGCATGCACAACTTCGGTTCTTGCGCAAGGAAAAAAAACCCTAAACAATATGAACTTTTACCACGTGTACGTAATAGTTGATCCATAGATATTATTAAATTGCGCATAAAATACAATCTACCGCGCCTGCATCAGTATCCCATTGTCCCGTACCAATCGCCAATACCGGCCATACCCATTCAACTCGACGAGTAACTTATTATATACCCGGTCGTTCAATTTTTCTTGTACAAAAAGTCGTGTGTGCTAGACCCAAAAGGAGAGTCGGGCGTATTTTCATTATTTCGTTCGGACAATTAAAAAAATAATTGATTTTATATTTTTTTATGAGCGGCACACGGCCCACTGCAGCTATAATAACCTGCCTATGCAAAAATACATGTCGAACAACAATCAACATTTCCGATAATTAATAACGGTATTATAATATTATTATTTTCCATGATATGCTCCCGAGAAGCGTGGTTATAAATTGGTTGTGCTTATTGGTATCGCTGGGACGTTTAAAAAGGATTAAAGTCTTAAAAAAGGGACGGTAGGTGGATATTATTGTCAGATTCGCGTACTTTCGAAATCTTTAGAGGTGCGCCACCGTAGCGGGGATTGCCCAATATAATCATTGCCTACAGTCGACGATTAAAAAACAAGTTTAAAATTGTTTGTCATCAAAAGATCAAAACTTTCTCTCGTATAACACACCAATACGTACAGGCGTGTAAACGAAATTATTTATATCAGATAGTCACGTTTTAGTCGTCCGGCGAGCGATATTCAGGCCTACCATAATTTCAAAATGTACACTACTGCGTCCGCACAATCAGTGAAAAATCATATATTATTGTAAATAAAATAATTGAAAATTATTCAAATGATTGCCAGTAATTTATCTGGACAAACATTTTGTTCGAATAACGCCCGACTTTTGCTATCGACTTTGCGTCTGGCCATTTTTTTTTTTTTTTCATATACCTAGATAAGTTCGTTTTAAGTAGGTACGCCTAATAACTATAATAATATGGTAGTCGAACCGTAAAATTAAATAAGTTTTCGTACATCGAAACGTGTATAGTAGATAGGTACACACCTATGCGTAATATTATTATTCGTTAGTTTTACAATATGTTGTTTTATTTATATGCCTATATAGTATTTACGTCGTTAAGATTGTACGATATCATTTGTATAATTACCTAGTTAATGTTTAGTTTTTTTTTTTTTTTTTTTAATAAAATTAATTATACATATTTCATTCGTCTACGCCTAATCCCGGTGCGATTTATTT